AATCAAAGCGAATAGAAGAGATGATTCTAGATTTTGCATTATTGCGAAAATCTCTGTTTACATTATTATTATTTAACCATTGGTGATGAAATTGAAAGTAGGATTGTGATATTTCAGCCATTTTTGTTTAAAATAATTTTAGTCAGATCTATACATATATATGTATGTCCATATATGTATGCATATGTAGTACATACATAAGTTGTGTTTTTTTTTACAAATTATCCAGTAACTTGCCAGCAACTCTCCAGTAACTTAATTTCTAAGAATTCGCTCTCATAGAAAAAATTTACAAAAAAGTATGTACGTGAACGCTTTTCCAGTAATAATTTGCAAGTTTCATGAACAGCTGATTAATTGGTTGTTTATTCGCAGCATATTCCTAATAAAACAATATATTTTATATTTAAATATGTTTATTTTGTGAATTTCCGCAATAAAAAGCCACAAACAGTTTCCTTATTAGTTTAAATTTCATCCAGCAACATGCGATCAGCTGTTTTTCGTACTGGCAAATTCTTACAAGTAAAAATTTATCCAGTAAAATCCAGTAAAAACTTGCAACTTCAGCTGTCATTTTTCGCTCTCTCAATTTCCCCTACTTTGCAAGTTTTTGCGTACGAAAACGCCAAAACATAAAAATTCGTAAAAACTTTTACTGGATTTTACTGGAAATGAGTAAAAAAACGCAACTATACATATGTATGTTCCTGTGTTGATATTTGAGGTTTTTAAATTGTACAAAATGAACGATAAAAACCGTAACTCTGAACTTAATTGTACTTTTGACCATTTCCGTCAATACACTACCTCCCGTTTACATTCAACAAACATACACCTTTTTTCTACTACAGTGAGTTTATCTTTCAGTTCATTGTAAAGCTTAAGTTGGTGTAGACTTAATTTAACGTAACTTATCATTGAGATCTCACCAACTAGCCCATAAAGTCACAAATAAATTCTTAAATTATATTCCAAAAATTATATATAAAAAAAATATTAAAATTAATCTGAAAAAAAAATATAGCCCAACCCGGGTAGCCGTATAATTTTGTCGTGAGATACACATACATATATTCAAGTATGAAGACAATAACGACTAAAAAGAAATACATAAGACAGATCAGTTTATATTAGGGAAAATAAATCACATAAAATGAGATCAGTAACACTAAAATAGAAGTCCACACAGTAGACATTTTTAGTTTCAACGCATGAAATTTACGTAACATCTTTTACTTTCAACCCTCGAGTTATTCAGTTCCTTCATTTTCTGCAGGATCGTCATTAGGTAAACTGAATTTCCAAAAATTGTTTCAAAATAAATAGCGATGAGGGATATTTCACCCACCGGTGATAAAAGAAGAATCGCGATAACCACAACGCTCAACACTAACATTACCATTCACAATCATGTTTACTTTCCAAATTAAAATTTCGTTTTGTACCAAATATGAAATGTACAGTTTCGGTCATATCTATAGCACGCCATTTCAAAGTGATATTGTGTGCCACTTATGTTTATTTATTTATTTTTAAGAATTTTCAATTAAAATATAGTTCATTCTCAGACAAACCCCATATATACCCAAGTTTAACAATTTGTAGAAAACTACAAAAAAGTGCAACAAATTTTCACCTAAATTTCAAACATTTTTCTCGGAAGTGTTAGAATTTTTTTGAGTACACAGTTTTTTAGCCCCTGCAATTTTAGTCGGATAATGTGCAAATTTGAAGTGGCTACGAATTACCGTTAATTTTTTGTTATAATTAAAAAAAATCGTTAGTAATAAAAAATTTTAAATAAATAATGGTATATTATTACTGTAGAAAAAGGGAACCAGAGTTTTTCGATCGGAAAATATTAATTTTTAAGAAGTCTATGCCATTTCTACGAAAAGTTGTTTTTCCCCATATAAAATACATTGAAAACTTTGAGTGCTTTACATATTTAAAAAAAAAAGAATGTCGCTTACGTTATTTTGGCAGTTAGGGCTCGATATGTCTGAATATATGAATATCCGAAGATACCAAGCTTTTCAGACTTTCAGCGCTTCATTCACCTAAAATTTTTACGAAAGTTGGTTGTATTTTTTTTTTTAATATTGAACAAAGTTTGCATGTGCATTTTTTTAATTGAAAATAGAATGTTATACTTAAATCCATAGTTTAAAAAAAAAAAAACTTAATACCTATTACTTTCTCTAACATATACAGAGAATCTGTATGCTTGTTTTGCATAACGAAAAACAAACTTATAGGGCCCCTAAACCACACAAAATCATTGCAAAGACATTCCTGGTTGTATCTCCCTTATAAAAGTAACCAAATTAAACTTATAAATAAATATAAAATTTAAGGGCTTTAAATAACAAGAAAAAAATTATTTGCCTTTAAACTAGTAATATTGTTCATATTTTTCGAAAATTAATTTCTGCCAGCCAAGGTATCGAAATGAAACATATGTGAATAAAAAAGTATCAAAGTTTCAAATCACAAAATTTAAATAACTGGGTAATTGAGGGTATTTTTCCAATTTTCGTGAGATGGCCTGGGTTACTGAAGTCGTTTGGCACATCCTCTCTTTCGAAAGAAACGAAATTCGACACTCACTGAATGCTCACAACAACAGAGAATTATAAGTTCTCTACTCTCTTTAAAATTCTTAAGTACACTGTTGCCACATCGTACTTTTCGCACTAAATTTAATGTTTTTCTTAATTAAAAATGCGAAAATTTTTGAGTTTGTAGCTTGGTGCGTTTTTTTGGTGCTTTTTGTTTTAGTTTGAAGACACCAAAACTGTAAATCTGAAACAAAAATAGAAGTTAAATTTAGAGAAATTGGAAGTTTCCTAAGGAACCACGGTGAATTTATAGAAGGTGGTGTTGTGAAATCAGCTGATTTCTTCGCCTTAAATGTATTTTGCTTTTGCTTTTACTGATTTGACAGCACACCCATCAAAAGCAAAAAACAAAATACATGTAAACTTTGGGGCGAATTGAGATTTGACATAACACCTGCAATACAAAATACATGTGGTTGTTGTTGTTGTAATCTAAATACGCCAGTTACACCACCTTGTATAATTTCGCCTTGTAAGGAACTTTACAAAAATGGACACAAATTCATGGCACAATCATAAGCGAGATAGCGTATGTTTGTCAAAAAAGATATGTGGCAGCACTTTCAATCATGCCAGAGTTACATACGGTAATTTGCCATTGCCTGCAAAAACGTCCATCTTTCTGGGAGCAGAAATTGATCTTTAGACCTTTAATTTGGTCTGAATTTGTTATATTTTTTACGAATATTACAAAAAGTACCAGCATCCCCTAACAGTAAAATGAATAACGAACCTTCGACCGGCGAGCAAGAAAGATTAATTATTATTAATTTCAATCTACATACCTAAAATAAAATTTTGTATGCATACAAAGTCCATTAAATGCTCCAATACAAAGTATGGTGCTTTTTTGGGTTTTAGCGCTTTTTCAAATTCAAAACTTGGCAACACTGTTTAAATAGCAGGGTGTGTTTTCGAATACATACCATTCAAACCGGTATTCAGCTACGTTGCATGGCCTCTCACTCACTCAGTCCAGCTCAGTTTGCTTTTGTTTTGAAATGAGAGTAAAGCAGAGAACCTTCGAGCAAATTTTCTCTTTCATATTTTTAGCTATATTCTTAAATATACGAAATTTCTAGATTACTACACGCACGGGCAGTGTGCGGATTCTACCTCTTTTGTAGTACATCTATCACCATCTTTGGTAAGTTGCATTTCTATCACATATACCACTGTAAGCTTAAAATCTACCACATTTTACAAATTTTGCTCATTTTACAATGTAGATGATTTTGCCATCCCTAATGTTCTGTTAATGATATGTACTATTGTTAATTGGATAATTGCGAAAGCGAAATTTGCCCTAATATTTGCATTTCATTTTCTAAATGTAAGCATGTACATCTATTACGTTTCAACCCATGGCTAATTTGCTAAGTGCTAGTGTAAGTAAATTGGTGTAATTCGGCTCCGAAATCAATGGGGCATATTCATAGACAAAATAAAGTCGACTCTAAAGTTAGTGGCAGATTTTGGACATAAGTTTTAATAGAAAATCTGTCAAAAAAGCTGCAACAAGTTTTAAAGTCGCCTTTATTTCGACTATGAATATGCCCCAATAGCTTTAGGCGGTAGTGTACAAAATATAAAAATTTGTGATAAGATAATTTTATTAACTAATAAAAATTTTAAAGTACTGTATCTTTTATAATAGAGGCTAATAAAATACGTCATAAATTTACCACAATTTTTAAGGCTTTCTATGGATACTAAAATGAAATTTGAGAGTCCGCACACTGCTTACGGTCAATAACCCTTGTTTGAAACAGCAGACCGTCGGCACTTCATCCATGACCTAGACAACATACAAACATATATACATACATACATAACTGAAATTTATACCCAGCAAGCAAAGAAACGTAAATTTTGCCGACAGTGCAGTTTAGTTCAATTTTCCGTATCCGAAAACGCATACAAAAAACTCCTATAGTTATCATCAATTTTCGTACCCAGAAAACGTTCGAAACAGATGATGTCATTTGAAAGCAATAATTGGCTGAGCGTGCAGAGGAGTGTGCCGCTATTTGTTAGCTTCCAGAAGGTGCCGGGTTCAAATTTCGTCAGGCGCTTCCTAATTTTGTTTTTGAAAAAGTATCTGTGAAGTGCAGAAGGAAAGCATATTGAACGAAAACTTCAATCAGACAAATTTCAGAAAAAAAAACAGCTGAAAACTTATCCTTTTCACCACCATTTTCGGTAGTTTTCTGTACATACGTTTAGTGCGAAAACGGATCATTAACGTTTCTGGATATGGACTCGGTAAACGGACAAAAATCCGGTTTTCATCGACTTTTTTCCGTTTTCGAATTTTTTGCTGGCTGGGTAATGCGACTGCTTAGGTATAAATACGAGTAAATCTACGAAACAGGCAACAGTTATAAACAATCATCAGAATTTAAACTTTGAAATTTGTCGAGTCGCTGAAGCGTTATAGAAATAAATTAAAGAAGAATTATTAACCAAAGGAAAAAAATGAGTACACTGCCAGCAATATTGGGTTTGATCAACGACATGGATCGTCTGACTACGGCCATTTCACCGTATTATCACAACTACCACTGGCCTCTTAGCCGTCAATTGAGCATAGGTAAACATGAAAGAGCAGTTTCGCCTTTAGTTGGCAAAGATGGTTTTCAAGTGTCTATGGATGTGGCTCATTTCAAGCCAAGCGAATTGAATGTTAAAGTTGTCGACAATACCGTCGTCGTGGAGGGCAAACATGAAGAGCGTGGGGATGAGCATGGCTATATATCTCGTCATTTTGTTCGCCGCTATACTCTTCCTAAAGGTTATGATGCTAGCAATGTAATGGGTTCGCTTTCCTCGGATGGTGTACTAACGGTTGTTGCTCCTAAGCCATATACAGAGGATAAGTCCAACGAACGTGTTATACAAATACAACAGACTGGTCCGGCACACTTGAACGTAAAGGAAAATCCAGAGAAGAAAAAATAGGCTGTCTATTCTTTTAACTAAAAAAACATTCCTAGAATCAAGGATATACATACTTCATACATATGTACATACCTCGAGCTGGACTGGAGCTTAATTTATTTTTTTTTTGTCGTCAATACCCTTAATTTATTTTATGACGTCAATACGCTTAATTTATTTATTATTTATATTATGTGTACTATGTATTTGAAACTTCTGAAATAAAAATGTGAATTTTTCTATTAAAAATAGTTTAGGGCTTTGTTTTATATTAGCAGATGCACATAGTACATAAGAACGTAAATAAGCACGCAACGTTAGCATAACAGGTTCATTCCTTTTTGCGTATTCTTTAATTTCCGTTAATTTAAATTCAGTTGAGTTTGACACTTCAAGATTTTGGCAGCAAAAATTATTCTGACTAAATCTGACTACTTGGGACTGAAGAGGGTCACTCTCACTGAGTGTTGCTCTCTCATTTTTGCTGTAATTTTCGAGTTAAGGAACGCTTTTTGAACTAACAGTCTCATTGCGTAAGTCGTAAATTAGGCTAAATTGTACGCGTCGACAACAGTAGCATTGTCGATTGTCGTACTGAAATAACTAAACGACCAAAATCGTGGAAAACTATACAGTGCTGCCAAGTTTTTCCGTTTTAATACACTAGTCGAGTGGAAATTTTAGGCAATGACATGAAATTTCCGATACGATTCGACTCTCGAAAAACGACTTGCATTTGACACGACTCTTACAATGACGGTGTAGATCTGACTACCTCGGACTTTTTCTGATAATTGATTTTCTGACTAGATAAGGAATGCAACTAGTACCTACCCAGTCGAGCTGTCAAACTATCGATAGTCAAGTCCATCGATGTTTTACGATAGTCTTAAGGGTGACTATCGATACTATCGATGTTATCGACCCATTTCAGATGTTTTTCTAAATCCATTTATTTTTCGTTATCTTGCTTTTATAAATTTGTTTATTTTAGCGGATCACGGATGCATTTTATTATAGAGAAATATTGCTAGAAACTCACTCGCCGTGTAAACAGTCAAAAAACGATTTCAGAAATTTTCTCGGCAATTCGCCTTTCCGAAAAAAAATTCTTTCGAATGACACTTTACATGCAAGGTGCCACTGCTCATGCCATTGCTTTCTGCAGTTTCTCAATTTGACAGTTTCTGAAATATACTGCATTGCCCGGTCTGACACGCTCTTAAGGTGCCCACACTGACCGACGTGTACGTATGCCGTGTCTGTTTGACGTAGCAACATATAAAATTTACTGTTGATAGAGAGAGAGAGAAGAACGCGTAACCGTCGCACGTACATGGTGGTGAGTTTTCATGTACATGGCGCTCTCATAAGTTTGATCGTGTGAGCCACTCTCACGTACGTTAACGTGTCAGCTGATAGGGCTTTCGCACGAGGCGATTTTTCAGGCAACTTTTAGTTGAAAGCAAAAATCGCCTCGTCCGAACGGCCTTTCAACTAATCGCTTTCAACAAAGTTGGTCGCCAGCCAACTTTGAGCTCGTTCAACTTTTTTCCTTGCAACACTGTGTTTGTTTACATTCTGTATCAGTGTTGGGAAGTGAAATTGTTCCTTCAGTACGAAATCTATACAAAAAATGTACTTTTCGGCTATAAATTGTATACACTTTTTAATTCGCTCATATATTTTCTTAGTACATTCCCTTCAAGACCAATGATTTTATGGTATTCATGAGAAACTTTTATTGTTTATGTACATACGTTTACGTATTTTACACTTTTACAAATTTATTCCACGTGCAAATGTACTGCATTTAACGCAAATTTGTAGGCACACATTTTCAGGTATACATCTTAACAAAAAGCATATTTAAGTTATTATTAATGGATAAAAGAGACATTTTCTTTGGATTCAGTACTAAAATTTGACATTTTAATAGCATTTCAAGTGTTTATCAAAACTTTACGACAAGATTTGACCATTTATCTAAATATTATTAAATTTTAATTATTTTTTGTAAAAATACGGTTTATATTCTAAGAAAAGCCGTACAAATCCAAGGTTCAAACTTTGTGCAACATTAAAAAAACCAACACACTTTCGTAAAAATTTCGAGCTTTTTAATTCGATTTCCTAGATTTATTTTGAGTGTGCGGTTTTTCAGCCCATTAAATTTTAATATGACTAACAAATTTGACGGCTAATAATCTAAGATTTGCCTGTGTAAACGGGGTGATTAAAAAACGAGCTTTGATTGAAATAATATTGATATGTGAACATAGTTTTACTATGTTTTTATCATGTTAATTTTATTTTTTACATTTTTTGACATTGCAGTCAGCAATGAGAGAGCTCGACTGAATTGTCACTTCTACCTTGATGCATATGCCTTGCGCGGGGATAGAATTTAAAAATTTCAAAATGTGCCTAATGGTCTTCAAAAATAGTGCCGAAAAGAAGATGAAAGTGCCACAAAATTAAAATATCTTTCTTGTAGGGTATTTTAAGAACAACATATTTTTAGAATACACTGAGGTAATATAATAATTATTAATTAACCAAATTATTACGGTAAATCACTTTGATGAAGGATTTCTTAGACATATACACATAAATGCATGCTAAAATAACACAGCATTCTAACTACGAAGAGGAAATGCACTGAATTATAGCTAATCTGACGTGTTATATGCGAAATAATGGCGGTGAGACATTTTGACCAGTTTCACCAGTTAATATTTTTTTTTCATTTTATATAAAAGTCTAACTCATAATTATTTTAATTTTTTAGTGCTTTTAATTTTCACTTTTTGTAATTTTTCAATCTATAATGTAGTATGTGATTATTTGTTATATAGTATATTGGCATATTATGCTAAGTTTCTATAATTTATGATTGTGCCAAAAGTGCGTCTGGGAATGAAAGTGCCTAGCTTTCCATCACTGGCCTTGCACTTCCTTAATTTTATTCGAAGAGGCGAATTCATCATCTCAACGTTTTTAATTCTAATTCCTCTCTTCGTTCGAAAAGTCTCTCTCACGCTCTTTTCTATCCTATTCAGCAAGTGAATCATTCCATAAACTAAACGAAGAGAATATACATTCTCATCGACTTGTTCTTTTTTTTGAATTTTCGAGAATTTACTGGCAATTTCGACAGACATATAAAAGCCGAAAGAACGCTGATTTTTCCATCATTTTTTCGCGAACAAAGGAAGAGAATACGTTTGATACGTGCTCGAGGAAGTGTGTTATTCATTGTAAATTTAATATTTTTAACTAAAAGTATTTAACAAATATACGTTTTTTGAAAAAATGTCGAGTTTGCCAATTCTATTGAACTTGATTGACGAGTTGGACAACCCCTTGTACTACGGCAACGATTTCGGATTGGGGTTGCACCCGCACCACATTCACCGTCATCGCCGGCACAATGAACCGGCTGCTTCAAATATTCTTGGCTATACACTGCCGCTAAACTTAGTAAATCGTTTAGGTGAACGCCCATTGAGTCGCCGGGGCCGCCAGGGCGAAGGTAAATTGTCGGTAGTAGGAAAAGATGGTTTACAAGTGTGTATGGATGTGGCACAATTCAAGCCAAGTGAGCTGTCTGTGAAAGTCGTTGATAACAGCGTTGTTGTCGAGGGCAAGCACGAGGAGCGAGAGGATGAGCATGGGTTCATTTCACGACACTTTGTCCGTCGATATGCACTACCAAAGGGCTATAACGCCGATAATGTAGTTTCCACGCTATCATCGGACGGAGTTCTGACAGTCAGTGCTCCTAAACCGCAGGAGGAAGCATCGAATGAACGTATTGTACAAATTCAACAGACTGGTCCAGCTCATTTGAATGTTAAACAAAATGCAGAAGAGAAGATCGGAGATGCCAACGGAGAGGCTGAACAGAAATAAATCATGGCCGAAAGTTTGAAAGATAACATATATATAATATACATATTACATACATTCTCTAATACATTCATACATATTTTGATTCATTCCATATGTGCATTTTATGTTTTTAAGGCGTAATTTTCAAAATTGCTATTTATGAATTTGTTCTACTTAGTAGTATACGCATTGTAATTGAATTTCTTAAATTTTACTTTAATGAAATATGAATAAAAAAAGAAATCAAAGTAACGAAGACGAATATGGCTTTCTTTAAACCTAGATATTCAGGCCGATTCTTAACAGAAACTCCCTGCGAGTTTTGGGCTTGTTCGAGTTGTAATCACAACCGCGGTGTTGCGCGAATTATTAAAGTATCGCGTTCTGTGCGAATTTCTAGCAATGTATTATCAGTTGGGCTGTTGCAACAATGTAGCCATTTTTCATCAATACGGCAGTAATGCCGCTTTTATTACGTGCCTCGAACAGGCCCTTTTTCTCTTTTCCCTTTCCTCCTGTCATGAAAAAAAATTCCCTGAAGATTTTTTGTATTAAATGGCAGAGTTGAGCTGTCAAAAAAGTGTCAAACAGCTCTTTCGAAGTTCGAGTTTCCTCCTCCCGAATTTTCGAAGAATATGCTACTCCCTGGGAGTTGGTTATTGGAGGATTTCTTTCTCGGTAGAAACAAATTCCTGCGAGTATTCAGAATTGGGCTGATTAACTGGAAAGGAGAAATAGTACTCAAAGTATGGCTGACTTCCAAAACGTCAATTGCATTGCATACGTACAATGTATAAAGTTCCATAACGTCGAACTACAAAATATTGACAATGTATACTGTTCCAAAATGCATCCGAAAATTATCGAAACGCATCGCTAGAGCAATCAGCGCATCAGAAAGAAAGTTGATACTTCGTTTGTTATTGGTTACCATTGGTGTTTTAAAAATGGAAAATTCAGAAAAATGTTTCATTGCTATATAGAATACTTAAAATATGCAATGTATATGGTTGCAATGTGTCGCAACTCGCAGTATAATAGTATCCAAACATTGTATTGATACGTTTCGGAAGTCAGCCATACTTTTCCAAAACGCATCCGAAAAGTTATCGAAGCGCATCGCTGGAGTAAACAGCGCATCAGACACAAAGGTGATACCT